CGGGGGAGGGGCTGACAGCACCTCGGGGCGCCTCCCTGCCTGCCCACGGCCCCGCGGGTCCGTACCGGTGGCCCCATTTCACAGGCTGGGAAACAGAGGCTCAGGAAAGGGAGGAGAGTTGCTCAGGGTCACAGTGCGAGTCTGGACCGGAGCCAACCGCACTCACACCGGGTGGCAGGAGGAGGAGCCAGGGACCGGCCCGGTGGCTCTACCTGCGGACGGCACCCGTCTGCCCGTCAGTAGGAAGCCAGTCCCAGCAGCAAGCGGAGCTGGAGGTTCAGACCGTCCACAAGTGCGTGCCCCGGGCAGAGCGCACCACGCTGAACCCGCTCCCACCTGTTCAACAGGAGTCATTAGAGTCCCGCCTTTCACGGTGACGGAGGGGATGAAACCTTGGGCAGTTGTGTTTGTACTTGGAAACCTTACAGTTTGAGGTTTCATGGCGTAGAACCCGTTATCACTAACGGGACTGTGTGTTGCCTTGGGTGTCAGCCACTGTTCACACCTAGATTAGAGCCCATCGTACCCGCCCGCCCGGTATGGTAATGAGCCGCAGGTGTCAGGCCGAGTTAGAGAACCGGCCCGGCAGCACGTCAGCCAGTTCCCTCCCCGCCAGCGCCCGAGGTTGCTCTGCAAGGTTGGTGAGTGGACAGAGAAGCCTGGTGCTTGATAAACACTCCATTTACACAGGAGGCCTCATCTGCCAGGGGCACCGGCCGCGTTGTCTCCAGGAGGCAAGAAACTGGGCGTGGGTCTGCGAAACCCCAAAGCCTAAGTGTGCGACTTCCTGGTCCTGTTCTCTCTTCTTGGTCTCAGTTGTGGGGTGATGCCCAGCCGGTGTGGCTCAGTGGTTGAGTGTCGCCCTATGAACCAAGAGGTCATGGTTCAATTCCCCGTCAGGGCACATGCCTGGGTTGTGGGCTCGATTCCCAATGTGGGGCATGCAAGAGGCAACTGATCAATGTTTCTCTCTCATCCCTGATGTTTCTATCTCTCTCCTTCTCCCTTCCTCTCTGAAATCAGTCATATATATGAAGTTGGAGGGTGTTTGTGTGTGAATGAGGGAACGAGGACCCACCGTCCCCAAGTGTGCAGGCTCCTCTGGTGGGTTTGGGTCCCAGTCCCAGCAGAGCGGTCCTCCATTTCCTCTGGAAGACTTTTTTTTTTTAATATACTTTATTGATTTTTTTTTTTTTACAGAGAGGAAGGGACAGGGATAGAGAGTTAGAAACATCAATCAGCTGCCTCCTGCACACTCCCCACTGGGGATGTGCCCGCAACCAAGGTACATGCCCTTGACCAGAATCGAAACCAGGGACCCTTGAGTCCACAGGCAGACGCTCTATCCACTGAGCCAAACCGGCCAGGGCTGTAAGACTTTTTAACTTACAACCCTCAAGGTCCCAAGTGCTGTGGGGCGGGGCCAGGCTGTCTGTATGAGACTGAGGAATGGGGGTGTCTGGGACCCTGTCTTATGCACCAAAGCCGGGGGCACTGACCCCCACCTCCTTCAGAGCTTGTTTGGCCTCTGGGAGACCTGGGATGGCGACTTCACCCCCTTCTACCTCTGCAGCTCTTTCCTCCCACCCACTGGGCGCTCACTAGCTCCCAGGCCCTTCCCAGAAGTGCCTTCCCCGCTCCCTCCCCCATCTCCCTCCGAGGGGCCCCTTGGCCTGCGAGCTCTGGCCCACCCATTTCCTGTGCTGCCCCAACTCCGCCCCGCCTCGACTCGCGGTGGAAAATTCTCTCCTTCAGATGGGCGGCTCCTTCTCCTTCCTTCCAGGCCGCCAGGAAGGCCCCGAGTGAGTGGGGAAGGAGGCTGGGCTCCAGGCCTCCGGCCAGAGAGGGGAAGTGAGTTGCCCGCAGACACACAACCGCGGGGCCAGGCTGAGCCAACTTGGAAAGCTCCCCGATCCGTCCGGGGACGGATTCGCACCCCGCCGCCGCCGCCGCCGCCTTTTCTCATTCGGGTTCCGGCGCCACCTGCCGGCGGAGCACGGGGCCGCACTTGCCAGAAACGCCGCTCTCTTCCCGCCCCAGAACCAAGCAGTCGGAACGCTGGGACGCGGAGAGGATTTATTGATCTATGCGCCCAGGAGGCTGGCCCCTCAACTTAAATATCCTGCGCAGAGTCTTGGCCCTCCCGGCTGTGGGCGGGTGCAAGACTGGGTCCTGGAGCCCTGGTCGAGGGCAGTGGAACCCAGGGACCGGAGGTGGGATGCCCCTGAGCCAGCAGCTGCCAACAGCAGCACAAGGTGAAAAGGAGACAGGAGTCAGATCCGCATCCCAGTCCGAGAGATACCGAGGGAGAGAAGATGCGCTGGGCCCACGGACAGACTGAAGGTTGGCTAAGCCGAGGTGCATACACGGGGAAGAAGTGGAGGTCCAGCGCCAGGGGCAGAGGCGGTAGCCCAGGTGCCTGCCCAGTGCCAGCTAACCCGACAGGAGAGGAGGTTGGCAGTTGTGCCTCTGAGGGACCCAGGCCTTCCCTCCTGTGGAGTGAGGTGTGGGGGGAAGCAGGCACTATAGTCTGAGTACTTGCCGAGGGTTAAGTTTCTGAGCCTTTTGCATGGGTACATGCGCCCCCACCCCCCCAGCTCTTCAGAGGTTGATATGGAAGGCATCTTGCAGCCACTGGTCACGGGCATTGTGCGTCTGGGGCACAGTGAGGGGAGGTGGGTCCGGGGGCAGGCTGGCGTCAGGAGGTTCGTCGTCATCAGAGAGGCCAGCATCAGGTGGGTAGGAGCTGTCTGAATGCAGGGAAGATGACAGGTCCTGGCACAGGCTCAAGTCTTGGCACAGGTGCTTGTAGTCCTGGATTGACTCGTACAGGCCCCACAGCTGGCACAGCAGGGACATGTCCAACTGCCGCAACCCCACCTGCAAAAGACTGAGGGTGGGCTGGGGTTGGGGTCCAGGCCACCCTCAGCCCAGCCGCAGCCCTAGCCATCTTCCCACACTTTCTCAGTCAAATGTCTGTGGACATAGATGCCACCTGCAAGCTGTGCATCTTTGGCAAGTCCCTAACCCTTATCTGTAAGGAGATACCCTTACAACGGTTCTCAACCTGTGGGTCGTGACCCCTTTGGCAGTCGAACGACCCTTTCACAGGGGTCGCCTAAGACCATCCTGCATATCAGATATTGACATTACGATTCATAACAGTAGCAACATGACAGTTATGAAGTAGCAACGAAAATAATTTTATGGTTGGGCCACAACATGAGGAACTGTATTTAAAGGGCCAGAAGGTTGAGAACCACTGCAGCAGGATGGAGTGAAATGCAACGAGGAAAGCGTTTAAAAACACATGGAATTGTTGGCATAAACGGTAACTGAAATTACTGTTGCCATATCCCTTCTGACCAACCGGCTCCTGCACGTCCTCGGAGACCCAGGCCGCGCTGGTTCCGCGCTCTGCGCTCCACCCCACCTCGGGGCTCTCCAATCGGCACAGCATCCACCCCCTCTCCCACCCAAACCCCCGGCCCGGGGCCCAGCTGCTCACCATCTCTTTGCGCAGCGCCGCTAGTGCCGAGTCGAGGTTGACAGGGCGCCGCGGGCCA